ACATGACAAAGGCTTACAAAATATTACACAGCAAAAAGAAAGTCACTAGGGATTTATTATGGACTGTCTCTTGCCAGACAAGAGCAAGGGGTCACAGCATGGAACTAGTAGATCTTAAGTTTTACCTGGCGGTTCTTGTTCACCTAGCATGTCATTTAAAGTGTGGGACTTGCTGCCAGCAGATCTGTTGGGAGCTGATGGTTTAGCTAGATTCACAAAGAGATTGGATATGTTCTCAAAGGAAAGGGGCATCCGGAGTTATTGAGTATGGGAGTGAGTGTCACAGCCTCTGAATCAGAACTTTCTAAACCAGTAGTTTTCAATCTGTGGTCCACAGACTCTTGGGGTTCTGTAGCTTATGTCTAAGGGATCCCCAAAAGATGACTGTGATCAATCAAAAGCATGTGAATACCCACACTTACAATTCCAAGGGGTCTGCTCCTCCATTTGAAATTTCCAAAGAGGTCCGCAAATGATAAAAGGTTGAAAAACACTGGGCTGGACAAATGCTGGAAGCTGCAAGTGAGAGAGGAACAGTGGAAAAAACCTTCATTAGACCCAGGTCGCTCTCCCTGTCAGCCTCTGCTGTCTGCTGCTGTGACACGGGGTGGGGGGACAATGGGACGGGACGCTGGGCAAGTTGGACCCAGGACATGGCAATTCTTAGGTTTGGTGACAAAAGCTTAGAGAGGTTTATTGCCTCTTAGGACAATGCACTAGCAGGACTGTTTAGCCATCCGCCCAGCTCAGTGTAACTGTCTCTTGCCAACTGCAGCTGCTGCCTGCCACGTTCGGGTATCTAGGGCTCGCTCCCTGCTGATCTGGGGCTTCTCCAGCTCACGTTCTGCTGAATTTGGGCTTTCCCAGCTCACCCCCTGCTAAATCCAGCTTGCCTCTTGTTATTTCTACTTTACTAGTGAAGTCTAACTTCTTATTCCTCGGGAAGCCAGCTACTCCCAAGGTCCTTTGCAGGTGCCATAGCTTACCTCGAGCTTAGTATAACTACAGCCTGGTGTATCCAGAACCCCTACACATCTCACTGGCTTGTCCCCTCTCTCCCCCAGTTCCCTAGTAACACGGACTACTCCCTGGTTTGGATGGCAGTTAGTTGGCTGCTCCCCAACTGCATGGAGAGATGCTCCAGATAAACACACCCACATCTTTCCCTGCTCAGACACAGCTGTTTGCCTCTTCCCCAGGGCACTATATTCCATAGCAGCTTCTCTCAGCATCCAACATGTAGGTGTCCTTGGAGGAAAGGAAGTCAGGGAGGCAGGGCATGCAGAGTTAAACTTCTCTTTGGAAGGGACCAGGGGAGGAGGTGAGAAGCTGTTAGAAATGAGCATGGGGTTGGGAAGAATTCTTTTTCCCCCTCCTGCTGCTACATGTCAGAGTTTTGGTTCTTTTTAAACTTCTCTGAGGCATTGGGTGCTGGCTACAGCCCAGGGTGGAGGTTGGGACCAGGCTG